TATCCGAATCTCCTAGTCATGATGATATGCGTTGTTGGATTTGGGGACTGTTGGCTGTCGAGCCGGGTACGCGAAAGAGGATCCTCCAATTTGGCCAGAGTTGGAACCGCGACAGCTTTGCAGTCCCTTCTCTTGCTGCTAAGACAGGTTCTCAAACGGCGGTTTCCCTACACTGGGTTGTTGAAGTTCGGCAGCACCTTGCGCGCAGCTCGCAAAACTGCAGTCACAGGGGTAATATAATTAGTGATAATGATCACCAGCATAGAGTTCATCACGATGCGGTGGGGGACCAATCTTGGAAGGCAGAAGAAGCGCGGAAGACAGGCAGGCCTCGCAGAGAGCTCGGGCGCCTCAACCTGGAGGACGAAAGAAGCTGCTTATTTCCGGATTTTCAGGGCTTGGGAATTGGAAGGGTTTAAGACTTCAATTCAATGTCAGGCGCAGCCTTCATTATCGCAAGGGCTTTGGCTTACATCAAGCTGCTCAGCATTCTGTGATTGCAACCTCGCCTTGGGCCAACCAAGGCTGAGGCCACATGCATCTCAAACAGCCAGCAATCTGCTGGCAAAGCTGTTCAGAAATTCTGTAAAGGAATTCAGCCAGAGTTCCTCCAGAGCAATTTATATGCACGCAGATCACAGTGAGCTAAAATTGTCGGAAACTGCGCTGCTTCAAAGAGTCAAGATTCGCTTCCAAAAGCAGAGGCCGCATATATCTGATATACAAGTACCATATGTTCTAGACATCGTGCAGGTAGTGAAGGTACCCTTACTGGGCGTCGTGCTCGTCAGCCATCTCCCGCGCCATTCTCGCAGTGAGGGATTCTTACGCTGAGCGCATGGACACGGCGAGCGCGTCTATGCACTGCTTTGCGGCTGACAGGGATCCTGAAGCTGCATCACGTCCAGCAAGCAGACCAGCGTTTGGTAACCGCAGGCGCTGCGAAAGCTTGCGTGTCTCCAATGTCTGTTCTAAGAGGTGGCGAATTACATGCTTCCTGAAACAATGATGCCATCGGAAGGGCACAAGGATATATATACATCATGTCATAACTAAATCTGATCAAGGGTTGCTCTAAGCGTTGAAGCTTCGGCTGGAAATGTGCGTCCCTGCTCCTCCCGCTCAACTCTTTTGGCACGACGGGCAGGGAAAGGAATTGAAAAGCAACTTCAAGGACTTCAAGGACTCTGGATTAGCCTCCTCAAAGCATACGTATGTCGACCGTAATCTGACCGTTTTTGGCATTTCACAAGTACCACAGCAAAGGGCTTCTTGCCGGCTCACACGAATAGGTTCTTGCGAAGCCAAATGTCAGCGCTATACCACCTGCACTGGCCAATGGATCATGGGTCACTGGGCACACGCAGCTTGGGAGCGTCGGAGCTTTGAAGCATTAGACGAAGACGAGGGGCTTAGAAGCGGAATGGTCACCTCAGGCAGAGCCAGGAGGCCATGTGAGCAGACTTTCAGACACCCCCCCCCAAAGCCCCCCGCTTTGCATGCCGAGAGGCATTGTCGTTGATGCCAAAGGGCTCGTACAGCTCAGTGAGTGTGGCTACCAGAGAGCCGATTGCCACCGCGTACTCGCGCAAGTGGACAGGGCTGAACAACGTACACCCGAAGACCTGAGAAGGCACTCCAAAACGACAAAGTGTCGAAGAAATTGCTCCTAGCTTGCTGTGCCAGCTAAGATGCAAAGCAGGTCATGAACCTTGGCTCTGGTAAGGGAGCCACGCTCTGTGATGTTAGGATTTCATTTCATTTGCAGCTTGAGTAGCATGGCTGTGCTACCCTCCACAGATTTCTTGCCGCCAGGCCCGATGCCTATACCTGGCAATACTGACCGAAAATCTCCAACCACAGGATAACAAGAAGCTCGGAAGAAGAACCGGCAACGGGGTCACTGCAAATGCTCTGGCCGAAGGAGCGGCCAATCAGTGCAGCCGTCATGTCTCCCATCACCAGGAAAAGAATTGACGTCATGGCTATCCTGAGCACCCAAAGGCTCCCAAGGCTCTGAAGACTCATTGGCATTGTGCACATTGCCATCACAAGCTGGCTGATGGAAAGGCTATGAGGAATGCGAAGCAGAAATTCTCAGCAAGCAAAAAAATTGGCACGCAGTTGTGAGAAGCAGGCAGAATGCAACAGGTGCCAGATAGCTTCTGGGCTTCAGACACTCCCATGGGAAGACTGCAAGCCTGTACATGTTCTTTTACATGACAAGAAGAATGAAAACTTTGAAGCACTAGAAGACCTGATCATCAAAGCAGTTGTGATCATCAAAGCAGTTGCCAAGCAAGGGTTGAAGGCAAGCAGGACATGCATTGGCACTGTTTTTTCACCGAGGGAGCAGACGATCTTAGCTAGAGGAATGTAGGTGCGTGCATGCGCACTTGTTGAGAGGCCATCACTCAGCCTCACGCAAGATGGCTTCACCAAACTGAGGTGCCGACACAGGGGCAAAGATCTGGATGGCTAACGTGCAACCCAACGAGAAGTAACCTCAGAGTCAGGGCACCGAATTGCGGCCAAAGTAAAATCACAGCGCAGCTGTTGCTCCTACAACAAAAGGTCTCCAGCTCAAACTCTACTCCAAATTTATGGGCTGAGCCGCTCCCGCCGCAGAGTTGATTTGCCTCCTTCTCGCGCAGAATGGACTTTAAGGGCCAATGGTCCTGCAGCTAAGCGGCTAAGCCCTCGACTGCAAGACAGCTTCAAGATCGGTCCCTAACAAAGCTGACGTGTACGCGCAGCCAGTCGGCACCTTGACAGGAAGAATTCCTTCCCTACCTTGAACCTGACAACGACGTACCTTCTAGATGCGACTACATACGTCCGAGTCTACATGCACGTGCACACACACATACAAGTACAATATGTACCGTATGTTATACCTAGTACCTATGCATCAACATCTACACGTCTATCTACCTACCTGCTATCTGTCATCCTATTCCGTTCCATCCCTGTACACATACCTCCATTTGCATAAGCATGGCAAGACATAGATAGGTACACAACATGTGCTGAGATCACCGGCTGACGCCCAGGACCGTGATCAGCCAGCAAAGCTGCACACAGAAACCTGTTTGCAAAAGCTCAGGGCAGGCCTACTTCAAGCATCCATTGGGCCCCTGCTTCTGGACACGCCATGGGTGAGCAACAGCTGATAGGACAAGGGCACCTGTGTCTGCAGACCACTTGCGCTCTTTGCCCCTTCTGTGTGGCGTCTATTTGCTTCAGGATTTTGAACGAACATCAACGTATTGCATGTGCAGCATTGTGCAGCTGTAGTGTTCTGCATAGTCTCTGTGCCTACCTAACCAACAGAACCAGGCCACCCATCGGCATTCCAGGCTTCAAAATCAGAGTTTGGGCAGCGCCACGCCATAGAATCAAGACGTGTACGTCTGGCCAATTTTGCGCGGGTACAGGTGTTCAGTGCATTTCAGTGCTACCTGCTAGAAGGGCATGAAATGGTTTGCAGCAAGGTCTTGTCGACTTAGTAGCAAGCCAGCAGGCCGCATAGATGGAAGATTTTGCCTCGGTTTGTGCCGTCAAGTCCACTTGCCAATCCACAGCATGATCCTGCAGAGCGCCATGCGCTCAATCTCCGTGGCGGTTTTCTTCACCTGTTAAACAAAAAGGCCCCATACATTGCATCTCCTGCACCTATTCAAAGGGGAGCCTTGTGCATCGCCACCCCTGCATCGGCCAAGAGGCGCCGGACAGCCTGCAGGGAGAACGTTTTGATGAAAACAGCGAAAGCACAACAGCACGATGTTTCTTCCACAATGCCACCAAGTCGCCAGCTTCGTCACGTCAATGTAACTACAGTGACTACATGCGCCATAGAGGCATCGGATGTTAATGGCGTGCAGCCAGATGACATCACTTCGGTCTGGCTGTTTTCTGTGTAGGTTGAGCCCACCTGCACCTTCAGTAAAGGATTGCCTCCCCCCTCCTCAGTTGTGATGTGTTCATTTGAAAGCTTCCCAGAATGCACCTCAAACCTGTAGATTTCTAGTCACGCGTCTGTACTGGGGTTGTTAATCCATATCGCGGGCGTTTGAGAATGGACCCCCCGCCCTTTCCAGGCGGGTGGGCCAAACCTGGCATTGGACATAATTCTTGGGAGTGCAGGCACCTCCAATAAGTGATTATGATAAATACGTGTCTTCCGTAGAAGTTCAAGTGTGTTGAGCTTGGTGAACTGACCTGCTGGAGGTCATAACTTTTTTAGAAAAAAACGTTGCTTTTGTGGTTGGCTTCCACCTGCATGCTGCATAAAGCCCGCTAGGCAGTCTCAATTTCAATTGCATCCATAATGAAATCAAAGGCAACACCACAAAACTGAAAAAAAAATCTGCCACCAGACCCGCATCCAAGGCTGCGGAAGGATGCAGGTACATGTGACGCCCGGAGAAGTGAGACATCTGAAGCTTGCTCTGCCTGAGGGCGCAGGCTTCGGATTGTGACGCCGAGGACAAGCGCCGCCACAGCCAGCACCTCATTTATAGTACATTATAGTACATTATAATACATTATGGTAGATTATAGTATATTATACTATACTATGTCGAATGGGATCACACGAATCGCATCAGCAAGCCGGATCAGCTCTACGGATCACACGAAGAGGATCAGCGAACAGGAGCAGCTGAACCAGGGATAAAGTTTAGTCGTTGCAGAAAGTCCGAATTGAAGGATCACAAGGGACTCCCTGATGCTAGTAGAGATGGCATGAGCATGAGATTAAAAGGGCAAGACCCGAGTCAATACCTTGGGGGCGTAGGTTAAACCCTTTAAGCCCTAAACCCTTAAACCCTAAACCCTTATACTGTTAAACCCTAAACCCTTAAACTGCTAAACCCTAAACCCTTAAATCCAAAAGCCCTTAAATCCTTACCCTAAACCCTAAAAACCCTACACCCTTTCACCCTGAAATCCTTAAAGCCCTAAACCCTTCAACCCTAAACCCTTACGTAAACCGTTAAACCCTAAACCCTTAAACTTGTAAACCCTAAACCCTTAGACCCTAAAACCTTTAACCCTAAACCCTTAGATTAAACCCCACACCCTTTAACCCTAAACCCTTAGACCCTAAACCCTTAAACCCTGAACCCTTAAACCCTAAACCCTTAAACCCTAAATCCTTAAACCCTAAACCCTAAACCTCCTGCCACGGTTTCAACCTAA